GGCCCAAATTCTTTCATGCTCAGCCTACACCCCCACCTTTGCCTTAGTCTCTCCCTCGAGAGCTTAGACAGAAAGCCAGCCCTGGCTCCCAACCTCCTATGCCCATTCGGAGGTGGAGATGGTTAATCTGCAGTTGGGTTGAGGGTTCCCAAGGCAGGCTGACACTCTTGGCTGAGCCATGTCTAATGCTGAGCAGGCTGTAACCAACAGCCCCCACAGTGTGTGCTTTTATACGAGGGTGCCACAGGCAATCAGCTTCCCTTGAAGTGAGAATATGTTCAGCAGTCCCACCAGCCAGCTGCTTCCCCCCGTTCACTTGGGTCCTGCAGTGCTCAACAGAGAGGAGGTGTTTTTCATCTTTAAGCAGACTGGGCTCAAGTCAGCCTGGAAATGCAGCCACACCACAAATGAATCTGGGGGGCTTCCAGTGCCTGTGATGTGTAAACCCTAATGTGGGCCTGCCCTATAGGACGCAGCAGTAATGGTCCACCATGAAACCACCATGCCGTCATTCATTTCAGACATTTAATCATTTTGCAGAATCCACATTGCACAGAGCTGGAAAGACCAGAATAACCAATAGTCCATGTGCTGCTAAACAGCCAGCAGAGTCACATGGTCCTCATCTGTGCCTGGGAATTCCTGGAAAAAGTTGCCTGTTCCATTTGCAGTTCCTCCGACTACTAAAGTATTCCACCATGATTTGGGCCAATGGGTATCCTCACCGAGCCCATCCTTAGTCCGTACACCACCTTCTTAGATGTTCATTCAGGGACACAGCTGCCTACCATCATGCACTGGGCTGGTCCTGACTCAGTGGGCCATACATGCAATCCCACTCCCAGCAGAGACACTGAACCCTGCCTCCACAGGTCTCTCCTCCTTGAAGTTATACTAGACAGGTATAAGACTAGACTTATACTTATGTCACTCTTCAAATATGGCCTCAGAACTGACAGTGGAATCTATTCAATGCAGAATACACACACACACACATACACACACACACACACACACACACACACACATCTTTTTGAGAAAGGTCTCACTATGTAATGTAGGCTGGTCTTGAACTCACTACGTAGCTCAAGCTGGCCTTGAGCTTGCTTTGATCCTCTTGCCTCAGTCTTCTGAGCACTGGGATTATAGGTGTATGCACCATGCTCTGCTCTCAATCTATTTCATAAAATATAAAATTGGCAATTACATCACCCTCTCATTAGATTTTCTGTCCATGTGAGGCAAAATAGCTTCAGAGTAAGAGATGAAGTTTGAATTGAGGTTTGGAGTCAGCCAGTACTCCAAGTTAGACAGTGCTGAGTTTGGAGTCCTTCATTCTAGCTCTTACCTAGAGCTAGGTAAATTGTGTATCCGTCAGAATTTTTCATTGCTCCATGGAGACACTGGACTCACACACAGCTCATCTGGTGCAAGCAGGTCTGCATATCATTGCTGTCCTGTCCAAGACCCTGGAGTCTTCAGGTGTGCTGCTGCTCAGCCCAACTCCCAGGTGTTCTGGACACGGGTGGAGGTCTCGACAGCTTCAATATCTAGATCATCACTTAGCCTGTTCTTTGGGATCCTGACTTCATTATATAATTGACATTCTCAGCTCAGTGGCATCTGGAGTTGTTTAATCCTTCCAAGGCCACCTGTGTTCACAGGTGCAGCTGTGGAAGGTGACAGAATCATGGCAGCTGAGATTTGATTTGGCATTAGGTGGCGGGATCTGGGTGGGAGAGGTGGAGTCTGGGTGGAGAGGCGGGGCCTAGATGGAAGGGGTGGGGCCAGAGTGGGTGGGGCAGGGCCTGGGCGGAAGAGGCAGAGGACCTGCCTGGGAGGGTTCATCTCCCTTCCTGGCTCCCTTCACTGGTTCTTAGCGGTCGTGATGAAAGCAGTTCTTGGCCAGCTTCCTCCATCATGCCATTTCCACCTGGGAGCCAGCTGACTGCGGACTGAACTGTCCAAAACTGTGAGCCCGAATAAACTCCTTTAAGTTGCGGCTGTTGGGTATTGTGTCTCAGTGGTGAGGAAAATGACTGAAACAGTATCAGTGAGACATGTCAGGGCAGAGGCTAGGCTTTAACCCTGATCCCCCTCTTAGCTGGGCATTGTTTCTTTAGTACACTCTTTGGTCATGCACATTCAGCCAATCCTAACCTTGTGAAATCTCTGAACTACTTTATTAAGTCACCTCCGAATGAAATTCTGGCCACCGTTTCTATATTATTTTCTTTGGACAACATGCTGTGTTGCCACAAAACATGAGGAATTCATTTTTTCATGAAGTCCCCGCACATATAACATGATTCCTGTACAAGTCTGTAATTTATTGGTTACAATCAACTAATATGGCATCCTTTAACTGAATAATACTTTGTAAGAAATCTGTGAGAAAAATGATATTTTACTTAGAGTTCAAAGTTGCAAGGAGTTAGGAAAGGTTGTCTACTTGTTTCTATACAGCAATCATTTGTCATTGTTGTTGTTAGCTAAGGGCCAAAAGCAAAGAACATGGAGCTACTAATGAACATTTAGCATTTGTCCTTCCATTTCTGACCTAAACAGCTTTAGACTCATCTTATTAGAACTCCCACATTTGTTCATAGGGGATCACATTGCCAGCCCGAGAGGGAGGCTTGGGTCCCTGGGCTTATTGTGGTGTTGAATCAAGGCTGGCTTTTCCGACAATGTACACTTCAAGGACACTTGATTGCCAGAGGGCTTTAGAAATGCCTGAAAGACAGGCAGAATATCCGTGGTGTTTGTAGGCTCAAAATTTTAAAATGGTCTTCAAGATTCATGTTTGCTTGTATATGCCCTAGATGGCCCCTTTGCCCCAGGGTTACTGGATCCTGCAATTATGATGGGCCACCACACCTATGGTTTAGTTACATTTTATGGCAAAAGAAATTTTGCAGATTTACAAAAAATATGATTATTCTGGGTGGGTCTGGTGCAACCAGGTGAACCTGGAAATGTGCTTGTCTCCCAGATGTCCCCAAGACTGCTGATCCAGGGGCCTCGCTTTGCAAACCACTGTCATGCCACAACTAAGGAGGTGCTGGTTATTCTTCCTATTTCTCCATCCAACCTTTCCCATGGGACGGGAAGACATCTTGACTTTTGAAACTCAGGTTAAAATAAGGAAAAGACACAGAACTTGTGATACCACTGAACACAAGGGTTTCTGATGATTCATCTTAAAAAACATTTTAGGGTAGAGTCTTCCCAGATCAGTGAAACCAGGTTTGCAAAAATGGACGTTCTTCTCTTCCCACAGGTGAGGGGAAGCTTGGGGTCTGCAGGACATCGAGTGTCCATGCCGCTGTCACTTCCCAGCTAGTGAGTGTGGCCATCCAGGCTGGTCTGTCATCCAAAGACAGCTGCTGTGGCCTCTGCTCCTGGGGAGCAGGTGTTCGGCCACTGCCACTGTTGACAGACCATGTCGCCCTGCACACCCCCCACCCCAGCACAGAATGAGGCCATCAAACTAGGACCAGAAATAAAGTCTGGACTGAGATTTAGGTATTTCACCAAGTTCAAACACTACTGAAGACAAAAATCCCTTGCCAATGGGAATGAGGTTATGTAGGGATCCTGATCCAAAATCAGGGCAAACAAGGAAATGAAAGAAGCCAAAATCATTGAAGTAAGGACATGCAATGATGCAGATGACCTGGAGAGGGCTCTGGAATTCAACGTGGTCGTGACAAGAGCGGTGCATGATGTTATTTCAAGACAGTTGAAAAGTTACTTATGCAGGGGAACCCAGATTGTCACGTTATCTCAAAGGTTTTCCTGGTTGCTCATGCTTGTCCTGAGACTTCCTATTAACCTGGGCTGGGGGTGGGGTAGAGAATCTAAATGGAAACATCTGTTAGAATTGAATATGAAAATCAATCATGGCTTGTTCTGATTATTTTGCTCATACCATAATCTTGAAAGGGAGAACCGAGTGATTATCCAGATACATTTGCATTTAGATTTTGCAGAGTGTAGGTGTGCCTTGGCATTGTATTTCAAAAGAAAAAAAAGACTGATCTTTTCCCTTAGAACCATTTGGGTCACCCAAGCTGCTAGCTCTTCTGCTTTTGTTTCTTTTATTTTTTTCCTAAGGAGACACAGGCACATTGTGGGCCTTTCTCAAGCTGCTGCGGATGATTGATGGTTGGCCTCTTTTCAATCCCAGTAATGAGGGGCGTCTGAAGCTTGGGTAACCATATCCTACCGACTTTAAGACCTCTGCCAACATATTCACGGCACAGAGACTTGGCAAGTTTGTTTAATCACAGCAAAGGGATTCCAAAGTGCAAAACAAGCCTACACCACTATGAAACAGCCAGTTCAGAAACCGACACAGGCTAAGAAGGTGTAAAGGCTTATTCCTTCTCACAGGTGGTTGGTGTCACACCCGCTGCACCCACCTCACCTTGGCCAAAGCAGGCAGCACTTGTAACACATAGGAGAGAAAAGACATCTTGGAAATTGACTTTGGGTTGTAGCAATAGAAAGCTGAGAACCTCCAGCCCAAGGCTGGGTAGTCCCAAACCACAGTGCCTTGATTTTTCTGATGCAGGAAAAATCATAGCAGCCTGTGGTAAGCTGGTGAGATACTTAGAGAGGCCAAGTGGTAAATTTAGAACCCATCCCTTGCTGCTTTGCAGGGGGGAAACTGTAGTCGCCTCTGATGATTTACTTACCAATAATGATAGTAGATACAGCTTGTGTTAAGAGCAGTGTCTTGCTTACCATTTGAAAAATGTTTTAGGGTCCTAGCAGGAATTAGGGTGATTTGTGACCAGCACTGAACTGCAATTTCTCTCATTCAACCTCAGCATTAGAGGTGCTTTTCCCTTCAAGAAATAAATATAGAGGCTCCAAGGTAAACTTTGGGGTCCTTCTGTTGTACAAGGTGCCAGGAATAAGAGAGCCTCTGTTTGCTTAGGGCTCAGCTGTGTAAGTTCCCAAAGTGAAATGATAACACAAAACCCATCACGTTCAGCACAAATTTCTATTAGGCAATTTTTGTCACTAAAAAGTGCAAATGCAGACTCCTGTGTAAATCTGATTTGCCATGCTAGGCCAAGCTTATTTTATTACATACATTCTGCATTCTAAGAACTAATAATTTCATATTGTAAACATTAAGCATACAGAGTTAAAATTCAAGGCCACATTATACCATTGATTGTCTCTTTTTTTTGTCATGTGTCTTTGGCTGGCCGAGATCAACTCGTAGTGTATAAATGCATAAGTTATATAATTATTATATAAAAAGGAAAAAAAACCCATTGACTTGTATACTTCGTTCTGACAAACGCACAGCGTTCGCGACTCAAAAAGGAAAACTGGAGCCCGCCTACCCCAAATGCATATGTGATCTCTGATTGTGACGGCACAGAGGCTGTCTCTTACCTGACCCTGTGGGGACAGAGCCCCCGTAATGCTGAGGTCCTGAACGTTTCTTTTAAATATCAGACAATTCCAGTTTAAATTTTCTTTTGACAAAGATAAAAAGAGATGCACATTTTTGGTCCTGAATTCTACTTCCGCCCTCCCTCCATGAGGCTATGTTCTTCCTCCTAACACTGGCTTTGGTACAACACTGACTGTATCAGACCACGAGAACCCACGACTCACTCTCCCTGGTCTCAAAGTGTCCTAAACCCAGAGAAGTTTCTTCTCACTTCTTTCCTCCTCCTCCTCAACTTCCTCCTTCCGCTCTTTGTCTACCACCACACACTCACTCTATTCACATCCTCAGTCCAACACCTGGCTCACAGTTCCTGCAGTACTGTAAAGGAGATGGAAACTGGTCATCTTCACAGTTGGAGAGAGCTGCTTGCTTCCCATTGCAGGGAATGAATGTGATTCCAACCAAAACAGCAAGCGCTCAAAGTCCCATACCAGCTTCGGGGAGGGGGCCAGTCTCTCTCTGGTCTTCTGGTTTTGTTTTGGTTTTGATATGTTTCTATTTTTAAATACAGGTAGTTTTCCTTCCATGACACTCTAAACGGTGTGATAGGCCAAGACTGTGTTACCTCTATTGCTTGAGTTGCATCCCAGGCCTCATGAGCAGGACCCCAACCTCTACTCTACGGTCTCTACTCTATTTAAGGCCATGTTCTTTGGCACTCCTCCTCTTGACTTCATGCTTCTACCCACAACGTCCTCGGCAAGGTTGGCCCGCAGGTGACATGTCCATGTTTGTCCCACTCCGAGCACCCTCTTTAGGTCTGTAGTAATACTTTAGTAACTCCCTCCCCACTGTGAGTCTTCAGGACTCTCCTGGTTCCTTTTCCCAGCCCCAGCCGAGCTTCTCCACCCCCTTGAGGCACTTCTGATCCCTGTTGTCCCATAGAGTTTGTGGCATCCGTGGTGGTGGCGCGATGGCGGGAAAGGCCTCCGTGGGGTGCCTAGTAGTAAGTGCCCAGGTGGGAAGGCATGTGGCTGGCTGGAAGCCGAGTGTTCGGGTAGATGCCCGCGGTCGGGGAATTCCAGTAGGGGTTGGGGGCAGCGAAGAAGCTGGAGGAGGTGACGGGGAGGGCTGGAGGGTGGGGAGCCACGAAGTTCATCTTCTGTGGGTGAGCGTGGTAGGAGCCCATGTACGGGAGGTCCGAGGGATACTTGTAGAGGGACGACTCGGGGGGATGGGGCTGCAGGGCCTGGGCGATCCCATGGAAGTCAAACTTGTAGGCATAGCGCTTCCCGTGGACTTTGGTCATGATGTTCTTGTCATAGTAGTAGCGGAGGGCGCGGCTGAGCTTGTCGTAGTTCATGTTGGGCTTGCTCTTGCGCTCTCCCCAGCGCCGGGCCACCTCGTCGGGGTCCGTCATCTTGAACTCCCCGTTGGTACCCTCCCAGGTGATGCAGTTGGAGTTGGAGCTGTCAGATAGGAGCTCCAGGAGGAACTGCCACAGCTGGATCTGACCACTACCTGGAGATGACAGAGGACACAAAGCACCAGTGAGAGCAGGCCAATGAGAGTGGGACATCCTAGTGGGCAGCCTGGGTTCCCAGATCAGGCCTGTCCCCACCTCTGGGCTATGGCTGCTCTTGGGCTGTCCATGTCTCCAGAGAATTGGACCTGGCTGGACAGGGGCTTCCTCATCCATCCCAGGAATCCCATGGCCAGATCAACACAGGCAAGCACAGGCTGCCCTAGCTTCAAGGAAAGAACCAGGTCTCCTTGGAACCAGGCTGAGCAAGGGTCTCCATCAAAGGAGGTTCTCCCTCACACCTTCCTTCTGGAGAAGACGCCCTGAATGAGTCATTTGTGCCAGTACCCGTACTCCCAGCTCTGCATCTAGAGAACCTGGCCTAGGATGATGACCATCCTTGCCCCCTCTCAGGCTGAGCTAACAAACCCAAGTCCTTTGTGCAACGGAGGGAATTCACGCAGGGCAAAGGTCAGGGTGGCTCCATCCATTTACGACTTCCTTCAAAGAACAGCCAGTTCCACCTGGAGTTTTAGGAATGAAAGAGCTATTTTTTTCCTATTTTGTGAGGCAGCAAATGCCCTTCTGTGGATGGCAGTAATGACTTCGTACCGTTTGTGTTGGCTAGGTCACATAAAATAATAAAAGTCAGGCTGAGGAAATGAACATCTAAAAGTTTATGGAAAAAGATAGAGAATGGAAGTAAACATCATTATTCCTAACATAACATTTTGCTGGCACTCACCAAGCAGCTCTGTCAAAAGTTTTCCTAGAAGAGAATTAACCCACTCAAAATAAGGAAGTTTAGAGAAAAGCTGGCTCTGTTCCAACGAGATTGCCCATTTCCGGTATGGAAGCAAATGCATCCTCATGGAAATCCACTCGCTGCCCTGCGTCACCTAACCAGGGATACAAAGTCCCTTTGAAAGCCTATGGAGATGGCGTTAATGTCTCCTCAATCAGAAAGACCTAAGCATACCATTCTGGCCATGGTGTCATAATGTTTGAAGTTGACTAAAGGCTCCGTAAGGGAGAGAAGAAGGTAAATATTGACCTTGAAGTGGAGGGCCAGGACAAGCAAAAGTGGTGTGTCACACAGACTTTAGAAGTTAAAAATTGACGGGAGGTACATGTTTTCCCCAAACTTCACTACAGCACTGCGTTGGGATTATTACACAAATGCTGTTTATGATACGATAAGGAATATCAGCAGATGTGGCAACAATTAAAATACCTTCCACCCGTCACTCACCAGGGAACTGATGAACTGTGAAAATCAATAATAAATTCACTTTTCTCCTGATATAAAAAGGGATATATATATATAGCTCCCTATATAAATTACCCAACTCATAAATCCTTGTTTCCATGCTGGCTACACGAAAGTGGATACATGTGAACTCGCCCAGGCAACAGCACTGTGAGAAAGGTCACCTCTTTTGCATGTGTACTGGAAAAGTCTCATTTTCAGCCTAGCAACACATTCGAAATGCATTAACAGCTTGTAGCTCATCGTGATGGAAGCCTCTGCTGCTTTCTTGAACTACATATATAAACTGTTCTCCCTCAAGCTTTGTTGCGTCCAACATTTCATTAATATGCATTATATGCATGATAAGGAAGGTCCATATGGTTTTAGTAAATACATTGTAACCAAAGGATGAAAATTTGAAAAAAAAAAATTCCATAGATGACCCAGGAATAAGGGAGAACCATGGATTTTTGATTTAACACTCTAACATATGCTTCCCTGTAAACATATACAGTTGTTTGAAAATAAATATTCAGTGTTGACTTCCTCTCACAGAGAGCAGTTCCACAGATTTGATATAAATACACAGCCCTGCCTGAACAGCTAGAATAACACTTGGGGCCTGTTCAAGCCCTAGCCTCACCTCTGAGGAATGCGTCTCTTGTCCCCTGCCCTTATAAACATGTGTAGGAAGGAAGCAGTGGAGAGAAGTGTTCTCCTCTCTCTCTTCCTTTGAAAGAGCTGGACAGTGGGAGACTTGCATTCACAACTGGGAACTCAAAGCTCAAAGGGCAGACAAGCAGGATGTCCCACACGCTGTTGTACTCCGTAGCTCCGACAATGCGAGACTCCAGCCTGTGATACAGAACTAAGCTATTTGTGAGCAAAACTCACCCGTTTCCAAATCTGAGAATAAAACTATCAACGTAAAACCTAGAAATGCTTCAGGTAATGTTATAAAATATAACACGCTATCAAACGCAGTAATGGTTACATTGAATATTCATAACAAAGTTCACTGCATGTAGAGCTTGTTTTCTCACTATGCAAAAGAATGCCCCAGGGTGCACCACGGTTGCTGGCAAGCCATGGCCAACACTATAGCGAGTGAGTAACTCTGGGCCACAGAATTTGAAAGGCATTTGTTAAAATTCTTGCTTTATTGTCAAAACAATCCCGTGCGACCTGCAATGAGGTACACTTTGGGATATGAACAGGACTCTGTAAAACAAGAATGCTTAGGGTTTGGAGAGGCCTAAAAGTCCCAAACCAGTGAGTAGAAAGAGAAGCACTTGAAAGACAAGTGTTGTCGCACACCAGAACCCACACCTCCTCCTGATGAGTCCTCCTTCTTTGGTAAAACCCTTCATACTACTTTTCTCACTCTCTCTATGACATCCTTGGGACATCAGGAAGGAGCAGCTAGTTTTTCCCTAGGGTGGAAAACTAAAATGATAGGATTTGGGCTAAGGAAAGAGTGGCAGGATGAAAGGGAGCAGGCAGGGCTGTAGGAGGACAGAAGACTGCTCTTCCACTTGTGGGAGAAAAGTACTGTCCCCAGACAGCCAAAGAGAAAGAGGTGCTGCCATGAGCGGGTATGCATGTGTCCTGTGATATGATGGCTCTTTAGGGGAGATACCAGAAGGAAGTGATAGAGCTGGGTCAGATGGAATTTTATCTTCAGTGTTTTGAAAAAGCAGCCCATAAGCCCGTCAACAGCTGAATGGATAAAGAAAGTGCGGTGTGTCCACGCAGTGCAGCACTTCTCTGCCGCACAGAAGGATGCACTGAAGTCACGTGTGGGAGAATGGATGAACCTTGAGATCGTGATACTAAGAGAAATGAATCAGACACAGAAGGTGAGGTACCACATGGCTCCTGTAATATGACAGACCCAAAATGTAAGTCATTTAAAGAACAAAATAAAAGAGAGACGGTAAGAAGCAGAGGCAGGCTGTGGAGATGGGAAGGAGAGACGGGGGAGAAAGGAGAGTGGAAATGATCAGGATGGGTTAGGGACCTGTCTTAGTTACTTTTCTCATTGCTGAGACAAAATACCCAACACCCACAAGTTAAGGGAGGAAGGGCTTACTTAGCTCAGTTTGTGGAGATTTTAGTCCACAATTGGCTGGCTCCAGGGCAGTGTGGCACATGGCAGAGGGGCATCGCAGAGGAGAAATGGTTCATGGCAGTCAGAAGGTAGCAAAGCAAGCAAGGAACCTCTTCAGCATCTTTCTGCCCCTTTTATCTTATCCAGGCTACTAGGGAGCATGGCACTCACACCCTTAATCCCAGCACTATACCATGAGTCAATCCCAGCATCACACACTGTAGATCCAGCCAGCTCTGAGAAAGCCCCACCTATGATTGCCTGGGGCTTTATGGGGAGATCTAGGCACAGCCATAACAGTACCAGTTTCCCGAGATGAGTGGAATTATTATGTACTGCAGAGACAATAGGAAACAGGGAGACAGATCTTTTGCAAAAGGGCAGAGGACCAAGAGATGAGGGAGGGGTGGAGGGGAGGTGAAAAGAATGAAGCAGCTTGACATGTGTGCACCACTCCCACAATGAATGGGATCGTGAGCTGCAAACACAGACTAACAAAACTAAAAATTCTGAAAATGCTTCTCTCAATCTTAAAAAGCAGAAGGGAAAAAGTGAAAGAGAAACACGGTGGTAATGAGGTAGAGACAGCAATAAGAGCAAAAGACTCATCGGCTCCCAGACCACAGAGGGAGGCAGGCCCAAGGACACAACTAGAGAAGCCAGGGCCCAGCCAGCACCCACAGACACTGGTTTGGGGCCACTTTCTGCAGAAGCTGGTGTTGGTGATTGCCCTGGGGAGGCCTCTGTCCAGAGGCTGGTGCAGCTCAGATACCCCGTGTGGCAGGGCCAGGCAGGCTCTGTGGGGAGCACCAACTTTGCATCTGGCACCGCCGTGCTGGGTGAATCTTGGCTGTGCCACTGAGAGGACCCCAGGCAACTCTCTCAGCTCTTTGGGCTTCAGTGTCCTTAGCTGTACAGTGGGTGTGGCTGAGATAGGACCTCCCTGCAGGGCCACTGTCACAGTGAGCGCTCTGTGAAACTGTCATGGTTTGTGTACACCGAGAGCCAGAGTTTCTAGAAAGGTCTCCTAAGAGATGAGAAATGCCAAAAGAAAGACGAACACCCAAGGGCCACCAGGTTGGCCACACAGAAGCTTGGGATGGTGCTCAGGGTTGGCTGAAATCTTGTGGTAGCTTAGTGCGGGCACACACTGTCTTAAACACTGTGAGAATTATCTAATTCCTATAAGAGTCATGTGATTAAAGCACTGGACAGAGGAGGAAAGGGGATGGGATATTGCTGTCCAAGGTCAGCAGAGGTTGGAACTCAGATTCTAGGCTGCCATGCTTAGGCCTGCACTAACAACTGTACACCCTTCTGCAGCATCCTGGCATCCTTCTCAGCGGTCCTCTCCCTGGGCCTGGAGCTTGGTGGGCTCCCCCTGGAAAATCCCATGCGTCCGTCACCTGACAAATGGCAAAACATCCCCCAAAGTGCTCTGCAGTGCTGTGTGAAGCAGGGTGCGTGTTCACGCCCCTCACCCCACAAGAGTATCCACCCAGCGTCAAGGGAGCCACGGAACAGAGTCCAGAAAGCTCTTTGGTGGAAAAGTGACTTCAGTTCATTACAGAAGCTCTGTCCAACCCTCAGCCATTCTGCTGGGACGTAAAGCTGAGTTACCTATGATAGATATGTGACACGAGGGTCCAAGGACACACGTTTCTCAGCAGGAGAAGTGCTGTCCGAAGCACAGAGTGCCTGGACATTTGGGATACTGGGAAGCTAATAGGCACATTCAGGCTGCAGCATGAAATCTTTGCATTTAGGATGACTTAAAAGAGTTGGAATGAAGAGCAAAGGCGGCATTTTGTTGTTGTTTTGTTTTGTTTTTGTGGTTTTCTTTTTTTTGCCACTATGGGGACTGAACCCAGGGCCTTCCCACTGAGCTCCATCCGGAGACCGTTATTAGTTCTTGTTTTGAGACAAGGTCTCACTAAGTTACTACACTGCCTGAGTCTGGCTCCAACTTGTGATCCTCCTGTCTTAGCCATCCAGAGTGCTGGGATTACAGGTGTGCACCACCAAGCCCAGCTACAGGCAGCAACTTTTAATGGATGAATGATTTGTTTATCAGAGAATGGCAAGACAGATGGAGGAAGCTTCCTCAGTAACAGATCAAAGGCACATGGAAGGCCACACAAAGACAAATGACAGAAGGCTTAAGGATAAATAGACAGCCTCATCATTATAAACTAAATTTTAAAGCGCTCAATGCTAAAGCTACTCAACTACAAGTCAAAGACTGGATGTTACCAATTTCCCAAGCCCCACTGGAATGGTCTCGAGGTCTGAGATGCTGTGACACCAGAGCTGCAGACCCAAGGTGCCTGGGACTTTTGTCCAGGCCTGGAATTGTGTGCTATGTCCCTCTGTCTACTGCGGGCACCCTGGCTGCAGTGCACGGAGAGGGCAGGGCGCCTGGGAGAGCTGGAGCTCTGTGGACGGACAGGTGACTTTCTCTTGGCCACATCCTCCATATCAGTCAGGCAGCACCTTTGAGCCCAGCCTGGATTCCACTCAGACAAAGCATGCAAACACAAAGCCAATTCTGTCCTGTCTGGCACAGCCAGACTCCTTCCTCTTCTTAGCTGACTTCAGATTCCTCCCCTGAATGCTCAGTGCAAGGGAAGTCCTTCCTTCCTACCCTTGTGGTCCGCATTCTCCAAGACCTCTGTGATGGTTGGTTGATTGCGTCAACTTGAGTAAGAGAAACTCAACTAAGTTCTCAGCAATTCCACACCCCAGGGTGTAGATCTCCCCTAAGGCAGCTGGTTGCCTGGATGGTACAAAGGGGAAACGAAGGAGGACAGATCTGCTTCTGCTCCTCAGAGGAGCTCCATCCTTCATCTTCACCTTGGACGTCATCTCCCGGCTTCCACTGGAGACCCATCAGCCTCCTGACATGGACTGGCATGGGACTGCAGTGAGCTCCAGACCTTGCACTGAAACTTTCTGTCTCCAGTGTCCAGATACCCTCTGCGTGCTTCCTCATCCAACTCTGGCTGACCATTGTAAGCCAATCTTGCAATTTCTTATACATTTGTATATCTTGTGTTATATCTGTTTCTCTAGTGCACACAGACTGATACAACCTCCCTCCTCCCTTTGTGTTCAATTAGAGGCTATGAAAAAAGCCAATCTTGATCTGTGCGCTTCAGGGAAAGCTGCTTGACTTCTCTGGGCTTCTCTGATTACTCTTCTGTAGGATGCATTTAACATTCAGGGTTGATAGCAGCCCCCCACAGGAACCCACAGGCATCAACACATCGATGGGGGGCAGCACAGGGTGGGGAGCTGCTTGGTTGTTAATTCACATCATTGTGTTAACATTCCCAGAGTACGGCGACTTCTAATCTGTCCTGAACGTAGCTGCCAGATCAGTCTTCCTGCAGGCTGATTGATTATAATCATCTCGAAACTGCAGTCATTTTTATTCGAATGGTTCTGAGGCAAGTGGAAGGCTCAGCAGAGGTATGAGCGGGGCCCATGCAGGAAACATGGCCCCAGGGACACTCACATAGGGACCCCGTGATCCCGTGCACTGGACAGTGTCATCAGAACCCGTGTTCCTCCCTCCACCAGGTGACAGCTCCTGAGCCAAAGATGTGTGTCATATTATTCTTGCCATTTAATTGCTCAGCAGAACATTGTTGAGTGCCTCATTTGGGTCTGGACTAAAGCAGCAAATGAAAGTCCCTTTTATTTGCCCAACTGCTTAAAAAAATACTTATTGAATTAGTTAACGTCTATCAAAATTTCATGTCGAACAGCCAGTCGCTTAGTAATGCTATTTCATGGTCTCACAGTCTGCACTCTCCCGTGGGGATGGACACTGGGAGAGTCTGAATTTTCTGTTGCTATTGCTGTTGTTTCCCAGCCCTGGCTGGGTCTGGGTGCTTAGGACATAAACATTCCAGCTCGCACTCCCTGTGACTCCCTGGCATGAGAATCTGCAGCAGGGGACATGTAGCATATGCTGCGATTTTCTGAAACTGCTGCCAGCACAGCTGGTTCTGATCTGAATACAAACAAACAGAGCGGTTTGGCTGGCACTAAAACGTGAGGACAGGTGACAGTCCTTGGTGAGGGACTGGCAACCAATGGGCCAATTAAGAACCTGTACTCTCTTCTCACAGCTAAGCTCAGAAACAGACCATGGGAGAGGACCCTACATGGAAGTCTCGTGGTTGGAGTAAAGAATCTCTTCCTAAAACCTATTACTGTATCTGCTGGGTGATGCGTTGAATTGTGTCCCTTCAAAATTCTTCTGTTCAAGTCCAAATCTCAAGACCTCAGGATGTGATCTTTTGTGGAGACTAGGTCTTCATGTAGGTAATCAAGTCAAAGTAAGGTCACTGGAATGGGCCATGTTCCAACATGACTGGTACCCTTATAAAACGGGGAAGGTAGCTGAATCCAAAACACACCCAGTCCCCTTATCTTTGACAAAGGGGCAAAACATTCACTGGAAGAAATATAGCCTCTTTAATAAATGGCGCTGGAAAAACTGGCTTTGCACATGCCAAAGATTAAAACTAGACCCATCTATCACCATGCACTAAACTAAAGTCAAAATAGATCAAACATCTAAATATTAAAACAGAAGCACTATATCTGCTGGAAGAGAGAATAGGCAGAATTCTTGGAGACATTGGTTAGGGTAAATATTTCATGAACAAAACCCGGATCATACGGGAAATACTACAAAGAATCAACAACTGGATCTCATCTTATTAAAAAGCTTGCACAGCAAAATAAATCACCAACAGAGTGAAGAGACTACCCACAGAATGGGAAAAAAATTTTGTCAGTTGTTCCTCAGACAGAGGACTAATATCTAGAACATATGAAGAATTGAAAAAAATCAGACCCCCCAAATTTAAATATCCAATCCAAAAATAGGCATCTGAAATGAACAGACACTTCTCAGATGAAGAAGTACAAACAGCAAATAAATATATGAAAACATGTTCAATCACTGGTCATTCAAGAGATGTCAATTAAAACAACACTGAGATTCCACCTCACCCCAGAAAGAATGGCTATCATCAAGAAATCAACCAATAGCGAATGCTGGCAGGACTGTGGGGAAAGAGGGATGATTTTCCACTGTTGGTGGGAGTGTAGGCTGGTGCAACCATTGTGGAAACCAGTATAGAGATTCCTAAAAAACTAGGACTAGAGATTCCATTTGACCCAGATATCCTCCTCTTTGGTATCTTACCAAAGATACCAAAAAGGATATTAAAAGCATCATATCACAATGATATATGCACACCCATGTTTATAGCGGCACAGTTTGTAATAGCAAAATCTTGGAAACAGCCCAAATGCCATCAACTGTTGAAAAGACAAAAAATACATGTTTGTTTGTTTGTTTCTTTGTTTTTAATACAATGGAGTATTACTACTCAGCAGTAAAGAAGGATGAACTTGAGACATTTCTAGGTAAATGGATTTACCTTGGGACCATGCTCTTAAGTGGAATAAATTGGACACACATGTGTAAATATCACATTGTCTCTCTGGTGTGAGAAACCAAAAGCGTAAATAAGGACCAAAATGTGTAATAGATCCGGTGAAATAGAAAGACAATGTCCAAAAGAAAAGAGGAACTAGGGAGGGGGAAGGGGGAAAGGAAGGGAAAATAAAATAAATGAGACAAGAAGGATAAAATGGAAACAAAACTTTGTAAATAAGGAGGCAAGAGGGGTTGAAGGAAAGGGAGGGGAATGAGAAAAGAAAGAGGAATCAAGTTACATCATGTACAGGTACAAATTCCCTAAGATGAATGTGATCATTATGCATAGCTAAATGGTACCAATAAATTTAATTGTAAGACAAGTGGAGGGGGAAGCTTGGACGTGAAGGTGGCCATATAGAAAGATGAGGAGATGACAGGCATCTATCAGCCAAGGGAGGGGTCCAGAATAGATCCTGCCTCACAGCCTCAAAAAGGCTGCACCTGACACCTTGATGCAGATGTGCAGCTTCCAGAGCTGTGAGATAGTCAGTTTCTGTTACTGAAGCCACCCTGTCTGTAGCACTCCGGTAGGGCAGACACCAGGAAGACTGTCACAGCTTGGGTTGGATGACAGTGCTCTCTGCTGAAGCTAAAATCTTCATTACACCCTGATTCTTTTTTTTTTTTTTTTTTCCACTAGGGAGAATAATTCCGGGGGACCTAAAACTAAAACTTGTTCAGCTGAAGGAAATTTCTCACCAATACAAATCTTCCTTTCAAAGTAACCACTGTGCAAAAGAAAACTAGGTAAGGAAAGTATCTCCAGCTGGCTCTCACCTGGATTAGCAAGGCGGCTGCTTGTTGGTCCAAGGATCTGATAAGGGTCTGCAACAGAAAGTAAAGAAGTCAAATCCCAAAGACTCAGATCCCAAGGTGGTGACTCGGTGTGATGTGAATTCCGGCCTGAAAATGACCCCCCTCCAAAAAAAAACAAAACCACCTGCCTCCACCTCATGTATGAGACAAGATGTCACACAGGGTCTCAGAGAGGTTCCTTGCTAAAGCCCTTAGCTCGTGGCAGAGCTTGGATTCCCAGATTCCCAACGTGGCACCGAGAACACACATTGACCCTGATATAAACGGGGGAAACCTGTGCAGAGTCCCCGCTCGGCCCCAGGCCTGCACGGCCGTGATGTGATGCTCAGGCCACAGCCAGGGTCCCCCTCCCGCTGCATCCCCCAGGGACCCGGTGCAGGTGACACAGCACCTGCAAAACTAAAAGAATCACACGGAAGTGGGCTACATGCAAACACAGTGCTTCCCCTGCATTCCCTGCACAGGGCTCAGAAAGGCCAACCAAAATCCCACGGTTCTAACCGAATGCACTGGTGGTTTGGTGGCATTTTGTGTGTGGAGCACTAGTAAAAAAGAACACAATGTTAAGTCCATTTAAAAGCGACACCTTGTAGACACCCTGCTGAGCCTGCACGCTCTCCACCGTTGTCCAATGGTCGCCAAAACGTACCTAACTGGGGGCGCTGATCTTCAGTTTTGGGCACTGCGGAAGGAGACGGCTGAGCAGCTGAAAACCCAAAAGTAAAAAGACCATTAGCTCCAGCGTGGATTTGGCCCCCGCCCTTGATGTTATTGGTTATATAATCAACCAGCAACAGCTCTCGTTACTGACATAACGGTCTTACAGCAAGAAGCATCTCAGGGGGAGGGAAATCTTCCTTTCCAACGAAACGAAATACAAACATTGTAACACCAAAGGACATTGTCTATTATTTTACAAATACACACCATATTTCTTGCAAAAGTAGAAAGATGATTTGAGATGGCTCACAAAACAGATTAAAGTCAACCAGAGTTTAAAATAAACAGATAGAAGGAAACTACTATGTAGAATAAAGCCAAGGATACTTTTATGCACAGCCAAATGAAGAAAACCACTGGTCACTCAAGCTGTGTACAAACACCCCACGAAACATGCATTTTCCACATTGAAACACACAGGCAGGCATGAGGCCCGTGCCTGTGATTTCAGCACTCTGGGAGGCTGAAGCAGGAGGGTCACAATTTGAGAACAGCCTGGGCAACCTAAGTGAGGCCCTGTTTCAAAATGTAAAATTAATAAAGGGGCTGGGAATATAGCTCAGCATGAAGGCCCTGGGTTCAAGTCCCAGTACCTCAAAAAAGAGAAAAAGGGAGGAAAAGAAGGAAAACAGGAGGGAGAGAAGAAATAAGGGAGGAAGGGAAGGAAGAAGGAAAGAAGGGAGGAGGAAGGAAGGCAGAGACACTTCCTCATTCATTCCTGCCTGTTATGAAGCTGGAGATAACCCCAACAGAGAAAGAATCACTGCCTTTAGAGATCAGTTGTGTTTTTCACCAAGAGAACAAACCCTCTACCTGATGAAGAATCACAGACTAACTACACAGACTTATTCCCTCCACCAAGCACTGTCCCTGCCTGTGCTAGACAGATCTAGTACCTTTGGACTGAGGGGCGGGGTGGCCGTGACCGGTCCAGGCTGACCTCCGGGGAGGCTCGTAAGGTAAATCTGTAAAGACACACGCATCGACTCAGAACTCCACAATGGCATTTGTGTAACAGGTGTCTTGTTTTTTCGTTGGTGTTTATTAGAATAAATACCGTGTAGTACAATCCAGTAATCCCAAGAAATAGTCAAGCTAGATTGTGTTAGGTTTGGGTTTTATTTACAAATTATGATCTTATATATTTTGTTCCCTTGAAATCCTCTCCCTCCTTTATTGAAAATTCCCCTTGGCAGATTCTTCTGGAGCTTGCTGACTCTTTCAAAGCATCTTCCTAGGGTCAGAGGTCAAGACCGTATGAGAAGTGTTTGACAATCCCGTTTACTCCGTTTCCACCAGGGACTGGTCCAAGCCTGCCCCCTTTCACCTTCACAGCCCGTCCAGAGCAGCCTGCAACTCGAGGACCGAGTCCTTCCTCTTTGAGGCCTGCCCCCAAATCCATCCAACCACATTCATGCTCCTTTTCCCTCTCCCCATCTCTTGGAAATAATTACTTCCTTCTTACCCTTGTGTGTGAGCTGCCACCCTTCGTTTTTCCCTCGTTTTTTATACTACCCGGCTTACCCAGGCTTTTTTTCTCCCCCTTGGCAAATGTTCACTCTTTCTCCTTTTTAAAGAAATATGGATTTAGAATTTCTCTAAAATGAATTGCATGAAACAAATGACAAGACTAGGATACTATTAGCACCCACACACACAAACCTTAACAATTATCTTCAGAGCTTGGGCCTATGCCATGACTTACAATGTATGTATAATGTATTATCGCTTATCCCATACACCTTCCCTGCACTTTGCATATGCAAATCTAATCATTATACTTCCCTATCTCATTCTGAGTTCTGTTAATAGTGATCAAGGCTCGAAGTTATTTCAAGGTTCTGTCGAGTGTATATTCCAGAAGCATTATTATATCACCACTAGGTACATGTACAGTTACTTCTACCTGCAGTCTTTTCACAGAGCTCTTTCCTTTTTTTTTCTGTCTCTGATTTTCAAAGCTACATCCTTGGATGGATGGGCCCCCGTTCAGTGTCCAGTGTCATCATAGGCCACCTGGAAGCCACATCTGGATTCTCCAGGGGCTCTGCTCCCTGAACACCAGGAGGTGACTACGCACATCTCACTCAGAGGACCGGGCAAGGGGAGATTTTAAGCCCCTCTGTAAACATATCACGTAACTTTATGTTAGCCTGGCAGTCCGGCGTCTCAGTCTTCCCTGAGTCTGACTGTGCTGCAGAATACGCGTCTCTTCCTATTTCCATATCCCCGAGAGGCCAGGAGTGCTATGCAATACAAAACTCAACACAGAACGGCCTTAATGCCTTTGGTCTGTTTGGCCCAAGCTCCCTCGCGACCAGTGTGGTCTGTGAAACCTGACCTTCTGCGGCTTTGAAGCGTTAGATAATTTTTCTCTTTAAACTCTGCCGTTGGCTGGCAATGTTGCGCTTTGGGGCCTTCGAATTTCCCACCCAGCTCCTCACGGTTTCACTTTTCGGGAGCCGAGACCGCACGTGGGAATTATAAACGCAGCCGCTATCAATTTACAACTGAAATTCAACTTCAGGCCCTGGGAGCATTTTGCACAGGGGTTCTCAGCCAGTTACACTTTTTCTTTAAAAGAAAGAAAAAAAAAAAGTGGTTAGCCAGAGTTTCAGTAAGAGAATTGTCTCAGAAAGAAGAACCTATTAGCAAGGCAACCCTAAGGCCTGATTCAGAAGAGAGAGGGCCCCTGTTTACAAAAGGAAAGGGCAAGCTACTCCTGAAATGGGTCAAAGTGTGGCCTGTGGGCCAACCTGGAGCACGCAGGGGGAAGTTTTCTCATCTCGTGCCTGCTCAGTCAGGATCGCGTCAGAGGCCAGCCGACCGGGGTGTACGCTGAGGTGCAAGAGCTCCCGTGTTTCTCTAGGAATCCGCCTTCCTGCAGCTCATGATTTGAGTAATGCTATCCTGAGCGTGCAGGAAAAATTTAAGAATTTTTAAAAACCCAGGAAGCGTTCTAAGGTGACTGCTTTTGCCTGAGGTATGGGACCAGGAGTGGAACTTGTGCGCAGGCGCTGGGGGGTGGGTCAGCAGCGATTTGTGAAAGCAGAAAAGGCGCTGGAAAATATTAAACACCCAACTGTGACTGCAAAAATATTTTGAACCTCTTTATTCATAAAATTCTCTGTAGGATGAATAATCTCATGTCCCACCCCCCTTAAAAAGAAGTCAGGAACTCAACCACGTTAAGTCGAGTCTAATTTTCAGCCGAGCCTCTGACATGTTTGTATGAACAATGATGAACATATGCCCTGGAAGATAAGCAGGCTTTTGTTTTCTTTTGTGTCTTTCTGGGCCAGTGCTTCCTTATCAGCTACTGATCACATGTTCCAGGCACCAAGCCCCCTGCTGTGGGGTGTGACATCAAGGAAGCACGAAACTGAGCCTAGCTGAGCCAGGGACACACAGGGCGACCAGTCTATCAGCTACGCCGCCCCAACACAGAGCCTGTGTTGAGTATTTCTAGCTGCTCTCGCCTGCTTGAAAAATCACTAATTCATGTATTTTTGCTATTTGTCCTTTACTGATAGCTGAGCACAGGACTTCTAATAAAATAGACTTGAAGCCTGGCATAGTAGCCCACGCCTGTAATCCGAGCACTCTGGGAGGCTGAAGTCAAGAGGATCGTAAGTTTAAGCCCAGCATGGGCAAATTATGGCTGACATGCCTCAAAAGAAAAAAAATTTAAAAAGGGTTGGGGAAGTGGTTCAGTGTGAAAGCCCTGGGTTCAATCCCAAGTACCACCCACAAAAACAGCTGATTATACAATTAATCGTTGGTCATGATTTTCACAGCCTCTCCATTTCTCTTCAGTTCTATCCTGCTGGTAATTAACTCACACACTAGGCAGAAGGTCCTGGGTATGCGAAGGCTGCTCTCTGGCATCCCTTCTGCTATTTCATCTGTAGAAGTTCTGTGCACAAACACTGAACTTTATAAATGTGCTTTCATACACAGCTTGGGGCGACCACAGAAGCATCTCGTATGCCATGATCCAGAAGAATAAAACCATGGAGATACAAAGAGCGAGTCTGACTGGTGTCAGTCCTCCCCGCTAAAGCCTTTACTGATTTCCTGGATGCTGGGATCAGTTTCTGATTCTGGGTGAGCCTCCACCCCACCGTATCTTTCCCGAGACACCCATGATTCAGCGCAGCATCCTGGCTGTGCTTGCTATGAGGGTTCAGCTCCACTAAGTTTGCGTGCTCCTGTCATCCATGTCACTGCAGAGGGGCCCCGAAGCTCTCTCTCCCTGCACACATCTACTTTTCTTTCTCGAGTGCTGAGCTTGGGTGACCACACAGCTCATCCTCATTCTGTAGGACCCATGTCATGCTATCACAGCAACCCAGGAAGTCCCTGGTGGGGCTGCATGAGAAGGGACAGGTTCATCTTCACCCTGTGCATTGAGGAAGGCAAGTTAGGAAGACCAAGAACCATTGCCCAGAACCAATCTATAAACGCCTGGGAAATGGAAGGAACGGATGGAGCCAATGCTGGCATAATTGAGCTGCTCTCTCTTGTCTTTCTCCAGATCTTTCTAGAGTCTTCCAAAGTCCTGTCTCAATAAGGAGATCTGGGAGCCATCTGCATTCCCTTCTTGTCTGAGTGTGAAGAGCTACAGGGATACAGCAGAGCTAAGGGAAGCAAGGAAGTGTCTGGAGCCTTCTGCCAAGATACGGGCTTTGCAGAGCACCTCGCTGAGGCGCAGCAGTGAGTCTGTCCCACCACCCTTGGTCACTGAGCAGCACCAAACTGTGAGCTTCAAGGGAGGCGTAAGCTAGGAAACTCAACGAACACTGGCCTCAAAGTCAAAGCTCTGTGTTCAGGTTACACTCTCTGGTCCCTTTTGATACTATCCCAGACGGATAACGCGGTGTTTGGGTTGTCATGGTGATGAGGGAGGAAAGGAAGAGGTTACTGTAGAATGTGATCTTTCCCATGATCTGCTCCTAAGAGGACAGGCAGGGTGGTGCAAGGTGAGGTCAAACGCTTGCAAGACTATGAATCGCACCTGTCCCTGTTCTTGCTACTTCACCTGAGACTGCATTCAGCAAAAGAGCTGGGAGTTACAGAGGAGGTGGGGAAAGCATTTCCAGTATAACTGCATAAACCTGAGAAATGCAGAGAGCATCATAAGGTAATGATCACAAAATCACACTGCAAAATGATATGTCTATGTGCTAATTAATGCTTTACAACAGCAGGGACCAGTCTACATGCTAATTCCACAGAGGCCATAGAAGAAGGTATGTTTTGCATCAGCAAAGTGTGGGAAAGTACTAGAAACAAGCCCAGGAAGAGAAGGGGTGAGCAATGAACAAAGGAAGGGAAAGGGTGTCCCCAGGTGGCTCCCTGCAAGGTCACTGAACAGCCTTGGCCAACTGTAGACGTGGCTGAAACGTCACACGACAGGGAAGCAAGCAGGCTCTGGAGTGAGTGGTCCGTTTGCAGAAAGGGAAAAGGTAGGTTTGAGTGGCAGCCCAGGACAAGGTGAGCCCAGGAAGGAAGGAGAGGAAGGAGACAGAGAAGAAATAACAGGAAACAAGCTGGGCTGGAGAAGCAAGAACGTGGCCTCATCCAAACCAGCACAACTTGGAGACCATTACGTTTCTTCTCTCAGAGAAGGGACAGATTCCGGTCTAAACAGAGTGGCTACCAAGGACCCTGGCTGGCTTCTGGGTCAGCACCCAGAGTCCTCTGAATCTGTGGGTGGGGGCTGGAGAAGTGCAGCAGATATGAAGAGCACTCCAGGAGGGTACAAGTGCACAGGGGACAAGAAATTGGGTCTCTACCTCCAGGGACTCTCTAAGGAAGAGTCCACAAACACTCACCTCTTCTGAAAGGACTGGAGACCACTGACTTCAGGGAGAGGGGCAGATCCCCCCACCCATCCTCTGTGATTCTTACAGCTCTGAGAATGAGTGAGACAAAGCTCACCCCCTCTGTTGCATCCTAAAGCTCTCCTGTGCACCATCCAGACTGTCAGAGCACCAGCCACTGCAGCAAGGGTGACTACTTGACAGTGGGCGGACCAAAGTCAACAGCTAATTCTCTTCTCCAAGGTCAAATCCCTAAATCCAGCCCATGGGAAATAGTTCTCTGGCTTATTTATCCAGATCAACAATTCTCTACAGATCTGATGTTAGTGTTTGTATTTCCTTTCATAATCACAGAGACAGTCATCAAAGTAGGCATTTCCTCCGATGCAAGCTGAGTCTCAGTGACAAACTGCGCTAGCAATGGGGAATTGGGAGTGAGTGAGCACTCTTCCAAGTCATGTGATGGGGCCACCATAGGGCACCTTGGGGTGACAGTAACATATGCAGTTGGCTACCCTCGCCTGTCCCAGGCTGAGGCAATGAAGAAAGCAGCCGTCAGCTTCGCTGCCACCCTCTCTCCATACACCTGGGTGGACCACACCTTCGAATCAACTAAAACACTGAAATCGTAGGCCCGGGGTCTACTGGGGCATGGCACAGCCAGCTGGTTGGTCAGATCAGTGGATTGTGCCCACAGATCTGGCCAGTGTCACGGCCTTTTAACCCACTCACAACAGCAGCTCACAAACCCTAGCCCTGCAACTCCCTGGTAACATCCATGAAACAGCATTAAATAAATTTTAAAAATGAGTAAGTTATTTTTAAAGTATGAATAGAAACACTGACATGAATCCCCCTCAAAATCCTTCTCCTCACTTTGAACCCACTCGTCCCATCACTCTTGCCATATTCTGCAGCAGCTCTGGAATCCTCTTTCCTGAGTGTCTTTACTTACTCTGTCCTGGATGGCTTGATGTCCTGAATCAATTCAAAATATTTCCCTCTCACGGTAGTTTTAACTTTGGGAAAGAGCTAGAAGTCACATGGTGCCAGATCTGGTGAATAAGGTGGACGAGAACACAGTTTCATGTTTTTACGAGTTTGTGATACCCAGTAAAGACACTCACGAAAGAGGATTTCCAGAGCTGCCTCAGAAAGTAGCAAGAATGATAGGATAAAAGTGTTATCCGAGGGAGGCAGAGCATTTTGAGGGAGATTCGTGCCAATGTCTTTTACTGTAATAACCACTTGTAAAATTTAGACATTCACTGTATATTTGGATCAGCCTTTGTACGCGGCAGGATTCTTCAGGGTCAGTCTAGTTTTCTGCAGACACTGGGTCCTGTCCACACTGAAATGACCTCTAACAGGACAGAGGTCACCAACCCAGAAGGACTAGTCCGTGGCTGTTGAGGCCTGGCACGGTTGCAGGGAGGACTCTGGATGTTCTGACTAAGCCCTTCCTCCCTGATCCCGGGACCAGGAACCAACCCATTCTCGTAGGTTGGGGAAGAGAATATTGCCAGCCCCAAGTGCCCACAGCTGTCACAGCGCAGTGCCAGGCTAAGAGCAGCAGGAAAGATTCTTTATTCCTGCTTCTCAGCCCCCAGCCCGGCTTCCCCAATGGACAGAAAGAGCTTCCAGCCTGGCATGTTGGATCATCCTCATCAAAACATGTGCAGTCTGGACATGTGACCGACCAACCTCATCGTGAAGTGTGGTTGGGTCTAGGAAGGTGTGAGCTCTAGACTCACGTACGGCTAAGGCAGCATGAGCACACTGCCTGGACCCACCATGCCTGCAGCTGCAAAGCTAGAATAAAGACCCTGAGCTCACAGGCTGTCATAATCCCCACCTAGGGGATGCTACACCCTGCTCTGAAATGCCCAACCTGCCCCCTGGCACAGGTGGAACCCTTTCATGGCAGGTATCTGTTCCTCTGGAAAGCTTCCCACTTCTGCCTTTGGAGCCACTTTCTTTCCTTTCTGCCCTGATGGCCTCTGGGGTTTACAGTTACTTGCGTGCCTCTTCTGCAAAATCCAGCACTAGGTTGAACACGTACGAGTTCCTGTCTATCTCTCTGGCTCCAGTTTGTTCTCTTGAAACATCCAGAGCTTTAGATAAACATTGAGCTCACGCACTGCTGTGCCCTCTGTGGCTGGCACCCGAGAGGCACCCAAGAAATAACAAGCTAAGCCGAGGAGCCACACAACTTTTAGGCTGGGCTTGAACTTGCAATCCTTCCGCCTCAGCTTCCCAGAGTCCTGGGGTTACAAGTATGTTCCACCACGCTCAGCTCACACAAGCATTCCTAACAGGGACAGCATTTCGGTACAGTTCATCTTTAAATTCCCAGAATCTGACTTCATGCTTGGCACTCACAGACACCGGATACCTGTTTATTCTGGCATGAATGGCATGCAATTTCCTAATTAAAGAAATTACACAGAAAGATTCAGAGCTAAATGTTATCTATTCATGCTTGTGGTCTACAAGCCTCTCACGATAAGCTGAGGATCTGGCCACTGCTGGCTTGAGGAATCCTCTTGCTTTGTGGGGACAGATGGCACATTGATCCCTCCATTAACTGGAAAGTGGACCGCTTGCTAGTTCTTCGCCTGTCTCCAGAGCTGCCCTGACCCAGAGTCCAGCACCTTTAGTGTGGGCTCTGAATGCAACCGTTTGGCTGAATTTCCTTTGCAAATCAACAGAGGCAGCAATGGAACTGCTGGAGTCCATGTCAGATTCAGGATCAGCAATTCTATCGAGGGCCTTGGGTCCCAGATCTCAGCAGGGTCTGGCCGGGAGGGGACAGATGAGGGCGCATCTGTCCAAGGAACAGTACCCAGGGCTGTTGGCATACCTGGCCTAGATGTAATTCTTTGCGTAGCTTCGGGATATACTGAAGTATTTGGGAAAATAAAAGCTGCACCCCCTGCAGACAAAAGGAAAAACAAAACACGTGAAGGTCTTTTGTGGTAGCTGTCCACTCAGCATCAGTGCCCAGTCTCCTTTGCCCCGGGCCACGGAGGAGGAGGCCTCGGAGGCTGCTTGAGACCTCAGGAGACCTGAACAAGCACGCGGAGCAGAGACGGGCTCTGAGCACCAACGGAGACGTAGCTGCGGCTGTGCTCCATTTGTGACAGGGTTCCGGTTCTACAGCTCCACCCGCTTTCCGCGAGCAATCTCATTTTATTAAAAAAAATTCTACGGTGCTTTTTTTTTTGCAAATTGTATAAAAATCCATAAAATACTTTACAGACCTCTTGGAAAGTAGAACCAAAGAATTGCAAATATTTCGCCTAAGACTATATGGATCTTATTAAAAATTAATCCACGTCTCTTTTCAAATGCGTGTTTTCTCTTTCTCCCTTTCAATCAACTCTCGCCTCGTCAGCTGAGAAAATTCCCTTTGCAACGGGCAGCCCGTTTGGAATGTGTTGTCCTGGTCTTTGATTACTTCTGTGTTTAACAATAATAAAATTAATGAAGTCAGAGATTTTTTTAAAAATTTCACTCCCTGTTAAAGACTTTTGCACACAGTATACAATGAACAGAAAATGTGTATTGCTCAAATGTGTTTCCTAAGAGGAGGAAATGACTTTGTCTAAGTTGTTGATTATTTCTGGCCCCGAGTTCCCTAATAGGTACATACATAGGACATAAATCAAAAAGGTGTACTGCCAATTTAAGCTTTTTTGTTTTATATTACATTAAAAGCACAATATTGTGAGTACAGAAGACTGAGATAAACCAGCATCTCATGGTCATATTCAAACTGAGACTCATTCACACTGTACATTTTCAAATAATGGTCAATATTTGGGAAATGGCTGTATTTCTCTCTGAGGGCAGCCCGGGAGTTGGCTTATTGCTTGTAAGGGGTCACAGGGCCTTCCCAGCCATCCTGACCTCCTCCCAGCCCAGGGAGCCACAGTGGGTCCCCTAGGCTGACTCAGGGGTCAGCAACTCACGGCCATGCGTCTGCTGTGACTCCCTCACTGGGAGGAAGTGGACGCAGATGCAAACGCAGAGCACCTTTCAGAGAAGCCAGCCCTGCCTGCCAGCCAGAGGCACAGGGGTGAAGTTAGCCAGGACAAAGCACTATGTTAAGCCCTACGAGGCTCAGGCACCATACAGACACCAACATGGGACTGGCGGTTAGAAGCAGCAAAGGGAGGCATCGTGTTAGTGACGACCTCCACCTCAGGTCCCCCAAGGGTAGAGCAGTTTCCCTTGGGACGCAAGCTCACACGAAAATGACAGACACGGCCTCCTACTGCCTTTTTGCAAATCTACAAATCTGCCAGCACATTAAATAAAGACTAGTCCAATGGCCTACAGGTATATCAGAAAAGAAAAACCTTCCATTGGTCCTAGTGAACATTCCTTTGAGAATAAAAATGGGTGGGGTGGAGATTACTCAGGGCGCCTTTCTACTACACATGCTTTTAGTTCTTACAATCAGCAGAGCGGATATTTCGGGATAAATAGCGGAAGATTGTAATTGAGCAAAGGGAGGCTTCAGATCTGGCTAACTCTGGTTAAAAGGAAACTTCTGATGGCCTAAGAGGAGAAAGAAGGTGCTCAGACACCAAGAGGGCTTCGCCACACGGAAGGACCAGGCATGCATCCATCTCTGTGTTCTCCCCTCCGGATGCTGTGACTTGTTGAGGCTTTCACCAGAAAGCAGGCAGCTGCAGCCAGGACCCTAGGGACAGGACCCTGTGCTTACCCTTGGGCGGGTCGGGCCCAGCATTACCTGTGTTTCTAGCATGCATTAACCGCGGAGAGTTTTGTAAGGCTTTATCAACATCATCGGAAGTCAAATGTGGAAGAGGAGCTACAAAACAAAACAAAAAGCAACATCAAAATGAAAAAGAGAGAGAATTACCTTTCTTTAAAAAAAGAGGAAGAAAGAAGAAAGGCAGGAAAGAAGAAAGGAAAACACCCCCCTCCACCACCCTGATGTCCTGGACTGCTGAAAACACCCGCACCACCTAGCTGCTGGTTATTGTGTTAAAACCTCAACAGGGCATCTTTTCCAGGGGAGAAATGGTTGGGATGCCAGGCAAAGCAATCAAGGGATTCCCTCCTCCCCACCTTTTCCTTCTCTCCCCTGCCTCCATGCTTGGCATTGTCCAAATCAAAGCATGCAGCAGACATTCTGGATTCATGCCTCTAACCCACCACGCCATTCCCATCCACGTCGGGTTAAGCCAACTCTCCTGGTGCCAAACAGAAACACCTCCCTCATTCTGTGGCCAGGCTGGACAGGAAGGGGTCTTGGCTTAGCTTTGGGGAAGAAACCCCATAATTGCTGTGAGGCGAGTACCTTTCTATTCTGCTTCTCTTTCAGAGCGGGGCATCATGAGACTGGTGAGTGCATGACCTTTGTCTACGACATTCCCTTTCCTAGTGGCAGAAAGCCAAGAGCAGGCCATGGAGGGCTGGGGTGACCCTCCAGCCTCAGAGAAGAGCATTGACTGCGTCTCAGCAGGTGACACAAGCCATCCGCCTGCGTTGTGGTGTCCTCATGTCCTGCACAGGACACTGAGCGAGTGCGGGAAGACACCATCCACAGCCCAGTTTGAACTCCTGGAGGCTCAGGCCCATAGGGACCCAGGGGACAAGCATGGGCCCTACGGAGGGAGGGAGGCGCTTACTCTCTCTGAGGTAGTGGAGGTGAGAGAGGAGGATGTCAGCGTTGTAGCTCGGGGTGAGCCTCTGGAAGTCGTCCTTAGTCATTTTGCACAGCTCCTTCCCGTCGATGTTCTGGAACAGTAAGACGTCCACATCCGGGAGGCTGTATTCTTTCACCGCCCACTCCAGCCACTGCCGGACGTGGTCTGTGCTCCACAGTGTCGGGTCTGAAAGGGCAGAGAATGCACTCAATCAACTCCAGAAGACAAGTTTCCCGGAAGAGTGGACTCCAGAGGGACTGTACCCCAGCCCCAGAGCAGCCCCAAGAAGTGCCAGCTGCAGGCCAGGCTCAGCCACTGCTCCAAAGAGGGTGTCCTGGGGAAAAGAGAGCAACCAAGTCACAGCTAGCCGGCAGCGTCTCTAGAGAGGACTGTTCTGGAAGATGAGGGTCATTCATATCACCAGCTTATTCTGTGGCTCAGATACATTTTCTTGTAGGGATCAGGCTTTTTCATTTCTTCATTTTAACGCATTCATTAAAACATGCATGAGCATCAAAGAAAATTCTCCTTCCCTAAACAACTACTGGTATATTTATACGAAGAGTTAATTTGGCATGGTGGTGCACACCTGTCATCCCAGCTTCTTGGGAGGCTGAGGTTAGAGGATGGCAAGTTCAAGCCAACCCCAGGCAATACGGCAATGTAGTGAACTCTTGTCTCAAAACAAACAAATAAAATAAATTAACAAGATTGTAGATGTAGCTGGGGATATAGCTCAGTGGCACAAGTGCCTGCCTGGCAAGCACAATGTCCTAAGTTTGATTTCCAGTACCACAAAAAAAAAAAAAAAAGATTGCAGATGTAGCTGAGTGCGAAAGTCCTTTGTTGAATCCCCAGTGTTATAAGAAAAAAATTACTTCAAGTCTAGCAGAGCCCAGCCCACATTCCACTGTCCTCCGGACACCTAGAGGCCGCTCCTCTCCTGAAGCAGGTGCGTACCCCATTCCTACGCATATTTCAGTGCTCTCCCCACAGCAGCTTCACATGCTGCCTGTAGTTTTAAAGTTAGCATCTGCCATGCCTTGGGCACTCAGCGCTCTATTTTCAAGATGTAACCACGTTAATTCAGGCAGATATGGTCAGCCAGTAAGCAGTCGTAGGCCTCCCCTGCAGGAGGGAGCCAGTTCCCAGGGGAAGTACTGGCTTCCGGTCCACCAGGACTCTGCACTGCTCCACAGCCCTGCGGCCCTGTGGGGAGACTGAAAAACTGAGCCTGCCTCATCTCAGCGATGATGCTGGATTGTTAGGGTGCAGGGCAGCCCGGACAGAGAGGTGTGAGCTCCCATGGTGATTCCACTGGGCGGTGATATGGGTTAGATTGAGAGTGAGTGACTGAACTGCGGGGGTGCTGCAGCTGACTCGCTGCTGGGACGTGGGGTCTGATTGGAAGAGGTGGCCACCGGGGAGTGACCAGAAGGGTTATCTCCTTCTGCAGCCCTTCCCTTCCCTTCCTGCTTCCTGGCTGCTACGGTGTGAGCAGCTCTCCAGACCCTTCTGCCGTGCCATTTCTTCCTTGAAGCAGGTGACCATGGACTACAAATGTGAGCCTAAATAAACCTTTTCTCTTTAAATTGTGGGTGTCGGGTATTTTGTCCCAGTGACAAGAAAGTGACTAAGACCGTGGCCAAAGTTCAGCCCACCTGGCCATACCTCACAACTCAGAGTGAGGTCCTCCACCCTTGACGGCCCTGGATTTCATTAGAAATGCGGACTCAGAAACATGCTGAGCCAGAGCACACTTCACTTCGCCAGCACTTTACACCCACGGAAGCCCGGGTCTGGGGTCATACCAGGGCACGGGTAGCTTCAGCTTGACCCCTGAGAACTGGTGTTCAACCGGTTGCATAGCAACTCACTGTAAAGCAACAGCCCAAGCATGGGGAACAGCACACTGAAGGATTTTCTGCAAAGGAAGCATCTACAAAGACGCAAATGATGGTGTTCACAGAAAGGTGTGCACACGCACAGTAATCCAGATGCTTGGGGATGTTTTGTTAGTTTGTGATCACTGCTTGTGTCTCTGGAACAGTCAGGGGGTCCAGTCCAGCGCACTGAAGTTCCAAGTGCTCTTTGGTTTTGGGTTAGCATTTTGCTTTCATGGATAAATGCTCAAAATGCCAGATTGTTTTCATAGGTTGGTTTTCTGCTTTTCGTTTTAAATGGCATCTGAGGGTTCCTTCTTATACAAAACCAGATTATATCAAGGATGTAGGATATCCTTAATTCAACTTCTCTTTATCTTTGGCTCTGAGCTGGGGACAGTTTAAACACACTCGCAGATAGACAGAAACCCATGCTACCCCCAGTCTCACCCAAGTCTGTCCTTGAAAGTTCAGCTGCGGGGGATTAGTTAAAACTCCTTCCTTGTTTGTTTTGCTTTGCTTTTACCAACATGGAATCTGTTTATGGGTATAACTATTTCTCAGAACAAGCTCATTCTGGAAATGGATTTTCTTCTCTGTATGGTAGAACCAGAGAACCTCAAAATGAGGAATAAGCAAAAATCTTGCCTGAAAGTCACCAGCTCTGTGTTGAATGGTGAAATGACATCTTAGCAAGACAGCTCTAAAGAGAAGTCCCTAGGACCCATTGGTCCACCCCTACAATGATGTCCTCTGCTAACCCAGGGTAATCATGGCTCATCCAATTCCCTTAAGGGAATTATGTGCATGATCCCAGAGACCAACTTCTCAACCTATAATGTCTTTACCTCTAAAATTCTCACATCGGGCTGGTGAAAGAAATGTCGTTCTTGATTATTGCCATTATAAGTATAACTCACTATGACTTTTCTGATAAACAATTTACCCACACCTTTGAGATGTCTTTAAAAATGTGCAAAGTCTCTGGCTTAAAAATTCCACTTCTGGAAATTTATCCTAAAGAAATAACAGGATGTGCACAATGATTTATTTTTAAGGATGTTCTTCACAGTGTTTATAATAGCAAAACATTGGAAACACCCTAAGTGCCCAGTAGGAGAGAAACTGTTAAGTTTCCCTGGGTTTAGAAATGCTCCTGTAAGTTTTAGAAACTAAAAGTTACCTTGCTGAGATACATTTATTTATAGGAAGAACACATTCCATGTAGATTTAGTTTGCTCCCTTCAGAATCCAAACTTCAGGGACACACAATTCCCTTATAAAAAGTAGTGTACATATTGCATATAGCTTATGCAGGCCCTTGGAAATACTTTAATTTATTTATACTACCTAATCTAATGTAAATGCTATGTAAATAGTTGATATGCTGCATAGTTGAGGGAACTATGACAAGAAAAAGTATCCACAGGTTCAGCATGGATACATTTTTTTCTGAGTATTTTTAACATATGGCTGCTGGAACCCACAGATACGGAACTAAAGGATACAGAAGGATGACTGTTAGAGTATTTTTATACAATTTCCTTCAAGGGCATAGGACTAGTCTCACTTTCTTTTGCACTTTAATAATTGAAATTGCTTAATTTGGAAAAAATAAAATTACATAAAACCTGGCCGTTCCCTTCTTCTTTTGAGGGGGCTGATCACCACCCCCTGCCCTGTAAGTTCATAACCAAATACAGTTACAAACAAAGAGCACCACTGGTAGAGGAACTGAGGGCATCCTCTTCCACCTGTCCATGGGCACCGCTGTTCCCAGCAGACTCGAAGGGCACTTTGCAGGGGACAGTCCAAGCCCCCTCAGCATGTAACATGTGGCCCAGAGCTTGCTGGACTCCACTGTCCTCATGGAGCAACCCCCTCCTACACCCACTCATAGCCACCTGCTGTCCCCTAAAGCAATGTCACCTAGTGCTTACATGGCCTACACTTGTCACCTGTTTGGGCACCCTCCCAGATGTTCTCACTAAGTAAATACTTCTGAGGAACAGCTGGGATACACAGCGAGACTGAAGCTCCAGTCCCTGAGATGTGATGTGGTCTATCCTGACCTCCACTGGGGTTCAGGTCAGAGTGTTGGGGCCAAGGTGTCATGGTTGAGCCCCAACTCACATTTTATCTCCACAGAGAGCTCCAGGAGAGTCTCTCTGCTTTCTTCATGGCTCGTGATCTCTCAGGACACTTTTCTTAATTCATTCCACCCTGCTGTCATAGACAGAGGCTCACAAGAGCCCACAAAATCCAGCAGGCATTACCTTCTTCCCTGGCTCCCAGCCTCACAAGTAAAGGAGAAGGGGAGGGGACAGCAGAATGCACCCCGGCCCATGTGTCACCTTTGCCTATGTGCAAGTGTGTCATCGCACCTGGGATAAGGCTCCTGCTGCCTCTAGGGGGCCAGGTAGCTTGGAACCTGTCACATGGCCTTATGCTTCCTCTTGTACGAAACTATGTGCAGAACTCCAGGACCTGAGGAAAATACAGAAGGCAGAGCCCATAACACAGAGAGACAGAGGCAAAGATCCATGGAACAAGGCAGCCATGGCCACAGTCCACAGAGTTCAGTTTGTGACATCCAAGTGATATCAAAGCACAGAGAAGCAGAAGCTGCTCTAGCCAAGAGAAAAGGAAGCATCTTCGGGAGGAGTTGGCAGAGCTTGGAGCCACAACATTTCTGACCTGGTGAGAACTAAGGTTCACTGGAACAGCTCAGCCGTTCTTCTTACCCAGAGGCACAAAGAATCCGGTATGTTGAGGGAAAGCAAGAAATGCTCAGTGGCGGTGGAGGGAGCACAGACAGAAGAATGGAGATGTAGGCTTTGACAGTCTTGCTAACAAGGCTGAGCCTATTATTTCACCAGTCACTTTCCCTTCCCATCACTGCGACAAAACACCTAACTTTGCAACTTAAGAGAGGTTTATTTTCACTCACGGTCTCAGAAGATTCAGTCCATGGTCAGTAGGCTCCAAGGCAGAAATGGCATGGCAGAGGGGGATGGTGGAAGAAAGCTGCTCATAATATAGCAGCCAAGAAGCAGAAAGAGAAGGGAGTAGCCCAGACAAGAGTACATCCTTCCAGGTCATGCCCCCAGTGACCACTGCCAAGCAGGCCACAGCTTTTGGCATCACATTCAGCTGTGAACTCATCAATCCTTAAATCCACTCATGAGTATAGCACTCCAAGATCCAGTCACCTTCCAAAAGGCCCACAGATAAATACAGCAGATGTTCAGAGGACATTCTCTGTCTAAACCCTAACAATTACACAGAAATGTCAGCATCATT